TTTTTTCCCTCTTGTGCTGGTGGTGGTGGTTTAGTCACTAAGTCGTGTCCAGCTCTTGCGACCCCATGGACTGTAGCTTGCCGGCCTCCTCTGTCCATGGGATTATCCAGGCAAGAATACTGGAGTGGGTTGCCATTTCCTTCTCCATTCCCTCTTGTAGTTGACATAAAAGTGGACACACACTCTTCAGCCTGGTCTAAGAAATTTGTACTCAAGATGCTGGACCGTCTCTGCCTGTTTGCAGCCTCAGTGCTCTAATGAGCCTGTGCCTGTTACTTTTAGGAGGTAGCACTCAATAAAATGAATTTGGAATCAGTGTATATTACTACTATTATGGTGCTTTTGTCAAATATATTACTTTTTTAATAAAAAGTAAGCAATGAATATTGAAAGCTTCCATTTACATAGTAATATCAAAGTGGTTTATATGCTGTTTTGCATATTTAGCTGGCAAGATTTTGGTTTGTGAGTTAATTTTGGAAATGTTTTTAATCTTGGTTCCCAACACTATTTGACTTCTTTTTTTAATTCTGTAGATTTCATTTACAAATATGGTTTCAGTAGATGAGAGACTTATATACAAACCACATCCTCAAGACCCAGAAAAGTAAGTGAAAAGTATTTTAACAAGCTTATTTTACAATATATTTTCATTTTTCTTTAGTATGAAAAATGAAAATTAGGTCATCCTGAAGCTGTGTGAATGTGTTTTGTTCTAGAACTATTTTGACTCAAGAAGCCATAATTACTGTGAAAGGAGTCAGTCTTGGCAGTTACCTTGAAGGGCTGATGGCAAGTACGATATCATCAAATGCTAATAAAGTAAGTAAGGCTGCTCTCACTTACTGTGGGGGGTGGGGTGCAGGCTTGTGGGATCTTAGTTCCCCAGGCCCCCTGCAATGGAAGCACAGAGTCTTAACCACTGGGTCACCTGGGAAGTCCCTCCCCACTTGCTCTTCTTCCTGGGTCATTTCTTAAGAAGAGCTGTCCTTGTGAGCTGCCTGAGCCACTGCAACGTGACGCCATGTGGGCTGTTACTGGGGTCTAGTGTGTCTGGGTTCACATCCCACCTGTAACTATGACCAGCCTTTCATCTTGGGCAGTTAACTAAGTGAGCCTTTCTCTGCCTCAGTTTCCTATATGCGAAGTGAAGATTAATTACCCACCTTACAGGGTTGGGTGTGAAGAGTAAATGAGATGTCATGGGAAATATGTGGCTGGGGGCCCAGCACTTAGGGGGCAGGGGAAGGCGAAGATGTGTGTCACTGTTGAAAGTATAGATTCTCAGCCTGTTTCTCAATTATCATCTCCCTTCACCCCCAGATCCACTGTAGATATTTTCTCCTAACTATCCCCACCTTGAGAAATCATTAAATGCCAAACATTATGTCTATAGATGCAGAGATATATGGGTCTGTGTTTGTGCCTTTTACATTCAAAGAATGAGATTTTTCCCCACTATCCCCCAACTAATTTTTGCCCCGTTGAGAATGTATGATTTAAAATAAAGTTTAGAGAAAGAGATGCCTAATACACTGTTTTATAACATGTGTAATATCATTCAGCAGCCAAAAGATATTCATAGATGCCTTCTCTATGTCAGGCAGAGTGCTAGGCTAGACTGGGGACACAGCAGGGAGCAAAACAAACGTGGTGCCTGCCCCCGTGGAACTGAGAGGAAGGCGACATTAATCATACAACACGGCATTAGGAAAGGAAAAGTACAGACAGGTACGAGAGTGCTTCATGAGTGCTGAGTAAGTTGCGTTGCTGCTGAGTTCTGAGCGAGGGGTGGGTAGGCCGTGAGGGGTCTGCCAGGGAGCGGTCCAGGTGGCGCAGCTGCACGTGCAGAGGGCCCGAGGCCAGAAGCAGTCAGTGCTCCTCGTTCTGTCCCTCAGGGCAGCTCAGAGTGCCAGGAGAGAGGGGTTGGAGAGGAAGTCAGACCAGAGCCTTCAGAGCCTCGGACAGGATTTTGCTGGAAAATATGGACATAAAAAGAGAAATGGAGTTTGACCTCACCATCAGAAGGGGGACCATTCTAATCATAAAGTAAAACATCACTACCATTTAATTGTAGATTCTTTATAGAACATCTTTTGCAAACAAAATAAAAACCAGTTTTAGATCAAGCCAGTTTCTCAAAGCATTTGATATTTGGTAAATAACATTAAAGAAAATACAAAGAGAAAAACTGTCCTGGTGAGGTTTAGTTATGCTTGTCCTGCCCATTGTGACTTCCTGACGTACTATTCATGCATGCCTTTGCTCTCACTTGGTATCAGTAAACATACTGGGTTTTTTTTTTTTAAGGGCCGAGAAGCAATGGAGTGGGTAATACATAAATTAAATGCTGAAATTGAGGAACTGACAGCTTCAGCAAGAGGAAGCATACGGACACCAATGGCAGCAGCCGCATTTGTGGAGAAATGATAATGGAGGTTGATAGATGGCACCCAGTTCCCCAGGTCTCTACAAGCTGGCAGTATATTTATTTGTTATTTAAAAAAATACAACTCTATTTTAGGTAGACTTTTTTTTTTAAATAAGCTGAAGAAAAGCTATGTGACTTGATCAAACAAAGAGGTGCAAGATTTCTAAATAAAAGGGATCAGCTGAAATTAGTATTGTCTGAAATGACTGATTTTGAGGATTCCAGCATTTATGCAAATTTTTAAGTTTTTTGAAAAGTGTGCTTGGAAATTGGTATTGGCTGATGAAACCTCCTTAAGGTAGAATTTTAAAGCTTTTCATGCATTGGAACTCTACCTGGCTTTGGACCAACCCCAGAACCAAGCAGAGCCCCTTCTGCGTACGCACGACTGCCCTGCTGTGGTAAACTTGGAGAGCTTACATGAGGGAACTCACTTTTAAAGGAGAAACTGTCATTTTAAAAAGACATTAATTGTATGGAATAATTTACTCTGCTATAAACCACCATTAAAAATCACAGTGCTTTAATTTCATACTCAATATTTTTTGGAGTAAAAATTATCACAAAAGTAATACATGACTCCAACAAAAGTACATTTTATTGTGTTATAAAAAGTACTGTACTGATTGGCCAAAGTTTTGTAACTTAGTAAAGGTATTACTTGGATTTGGATTTGTACTTTATGATTTAGTATGGTGTATCGTGGGCTGGTTATGTTAACTGAAAAAATAAAGTCATTATAAGAATTTTGCAGCGCTCTAAACTTTAAACAGAAGAACAGCTGTTCACATCTTTTAGCATTTCACATTTGCCTAACTTATAAATTGCCATGTGTCAAAATCATGGTTCTGTAATTGCTAAAGCATGATATGTCAGGTTATTTGAATATAATTACTTTGTGAAGTAATTATGACCACAAAACATCTTTGTTACATGAAGAGCTGTACATCATTTGAAATTACTCAAATGATGTCTTGATCTGAAGCATAAATCCCAGGGACTTAATGTTTTTAATAACACTGTGTCACTGCGGGGGGTGGGGGCGGTGAAGAAGGAAAAAAGAAAAAGAGGATGAAAAAAAAAGCATTGGCCTAAAGCACCCTGTGAACTGCTTTGCAGCTTTTTTTAATAGGAAATCCTTGCCTTGGATGAACAGTCCCGTATGTGTATGTTGTAGCAGGCAATTAATTATCAACCACTAAATAAGAATATCTTTGATCCTTGGAATTGTTGCATACAGTGTATCGTTATTAAAAGATGATGAGCTCTTGCTTTTATTTCACAGTACTTAATGCTATAAACTTCTAGTCAGGTTTCCTACAAAAGAAACCAGTTAATATAGGTACATAAACCACAAAAATCATATACCAATTTAAAAATTAGTGTTTTTCTACTTAAAATACTATTTAGCTTGAGGGTTCTTGGGACATTTGTAAAAGCACATTAAAGCCAGTAACGCTTTTTTATTATTTTTATAACATTTTTTACAATTAAAATAACATTTCAACTAAACAAAACATTGATAAATATTGATATTTAATAAATTGCCTTGTATAATTTCTGAAAATTATACTTGTTCTGGAAAGTGTCAGAATAGCTTAATGATAAAAAGATTTCTAAACAAAATGTTAACCTGACTTTTTGATTCTAATAATAATTCTATAAATTTTCACTTTCCAGTGTAGTTACTTTTAGTAAAGTAGCTGGTAGTTAATGGCTTTTACCTATTAAAGTAAGCATTTGAGAGGACTGGAATACTGGTGTTCATGGGTTAGAATTAAGACTCTCAGACTATGTAGCATATTTTTTAATATTAAAGGTGGACCTTATATGAATTAAGAAAAACCTACCTGTTAATAAAAACTTCCTTTTAACTATGATGTCTTTCCTGATTATAATTTCTTTCTAATAACTGCAAGGAGTAAAAGAAATGTTTTATCCTTGTAAAAATTCGCCTAATTGCCATGTGCTGGAGCCGGCTCAGCGCCCAAGGTTTAGATTCTAGGTTGGACGTGCAGCGCCTCGGCCGTCCCTTCCTCGGATGTCCGGTCTGCTCCCCACGGCCGGACTCTAATGCCCGGTGTGGTTACCCACCCTGGCTCGGCCTGAAACCCCAGAACTGTCGAGGGTCGGCTCGCTATGGTTAACTGTTAACGCGGGACGGTCGTGCTGGCGCGTCGTCAAGGTCGGGTCCAGGGGCGGGATAGGGGTGGCGTGCCCATAACACCTGCCTCGACGCGGTTCAGAGCCCCGCGCTCCCGGAGCCACGCGGTCACGCCTCCCCTCTAGCCCCGCCAAGGCTACTACGGAAGCCCGCGTGGCACACCTGCGCTGGCAACCGCGGCACCGGTCGCGCTCCCCTATTGGCTCGCGGCGCTGGGAGCATTCTGCGGCAAGGCGGTGAGGCCGCCCGGGAGGGCGGGGCGGTACAGGAGGAGGCGGGACTGGCAGGCTCGGAGCCCCGCCCCTTCCTCTTCTCGGACCTGACCTTCCGGCAGCCGGGTCGCGGTCTGAGCCGACATTGACAGGTCTTCGCGATTCGGCCCGACGCGCCCCCTCTCGCGACATCATGGTGGCGTATTGGCGACAGGCTGGACTCAGGTAGGCCCAGGCCTCGGGAAGATCGGGTCTCTGGGGCACGGGGAGGTACGGGGCAGCCCGGGGTCGGAGGTCACGTCGGGTGCTTCGCGGATGGGGGTCGGCCCGGCGAGTGAGGTCCCAAGATGGCGGCCTGCGGACGCTGAGCTAGGGTCCCGGCCGCCGGGGCCCGAGCACCTGCCAGCACCTGCCGGAGTGTTGCCGAGCACCTGCGTGCCCCCAGGAGCGCCCTCGACAAGTGCCATGTCTTCTCAAGGACGGCGCTTCTCACCCGCGCGGCCTTTGGGCTTTGAATTGGACTCAGTTGAGGTTCTGGAAGTAACAGAGCTTGAGAGAGCGGAGGGGTTCTCTGGGTGTAACCACGATCACCATAGCTGGCGTTTCTTTCCAGCATCATTAAAAATTAACTCCTGCTGTCAGGTTTATCGGTAAAACGGGTAAAAGCCCTTGATAAGGTGTAAAGGGCTCTGCCACAGGTGAGTGGTGGCTCCTGGGAAGCCAGAATATGGAGCACCCTGGAGGCCATGGCTTCTGATGAGACGGAGAAACCGTGGATCTAGGTATCACACCTGGTTTCTTTGCCCGTACACCCAGTTGAGCTGCTCACCTGGCTCAGGTTAACACACCTTGTTACTTGACTAGATTAAGTAGCACCGCCTAATGGTGACCTGTGGGTTTGTGACTGGGCAGCCCAAGAGTTTCCTGATTTTCAAGGTCGAAGCAGAGTTCTGTAGGATTGGAGGCATGATGGTCCCCCTCAGTGGCAACGCCTACCACGAGACAGGTGGGGCAGACCTGCTCATCTCACTTGGTCTTTCATCCTCCCAGCCACCAGTGGGACAAATACTGTTATCCTCTGCTTTGTCCTGTTGTTTTTACAGGTGAGCAAATTAGACAAAAAGATGGAAAGGTTACCAATTCCTAGGAGTGGAAGGAAGAATCTGAACTCCTACCTCTGGCCCCCCCGAAAAACAAACCTGAAAACATGAGAAAATAGTCAGCAGCAAACTCCCCTTCCTGTTTTCAAAAAGTGTGAAAAGTGAGCTTACATCTGGAAAATAAGGTGTTGATGGGAGTCCCATGTAGCAAACAGGAAGCAGGCTGTCAGATATTTTGCTAGAATTGATGGTCTCTAAGGGCTTCTCAGTTTAACTTAGAAACTTTGATTGGGAAGTTATTTTCAATGGCACACCTGTGAATCAGAATCCAATATTCTAAGGAAAACCTTTAAATAATCAAAAGTAGAGCTCTTTTCATTCAAAATAGGTTTTTTTCCCTCCTCTTTTAATTATGTATGGTTTATCTTGTAAGAGTAATAAAAGGCAAAATGTTGAATTAAATGGGAAAAAGTACAGTCATGTTATACCCTCTGTTAACATTTAGAACTGTGCTGTGAGTTTTTTCCTCTAATAAATCTATGCTTCTTTTAGTTCAAATTAATATGTATTGAAGAGAAAACAGTGCAAAGAAAAATTAAAAAAATCTCCCATTCTAATACCAGTGAAGGCTTTGATACATTTCTTTCTGGTCTTATTTCTCTTTGTATAGATTCCTTTGCATCAGTCATTTATTTTAAAGTTCAGTTCTACAATAGTGTACAACGAAACCAAAAGCATAGGAAGGCAAACAAAAGCATAGTCACACAACCAGTCTGGCTGAATCATTGATTATTAGCTTTCTTGCTCTCTCATTTCCTCCCAGCTACATCCGATACTCCCAGATCTGTGCAAAAGCAGTCAGAGATGCACTGAAGACCGAATTCAAAGCAAACGCCATGAAGACATCTGGCAGCAGCGTAAAAATTGTGAAAGTGAAAAAGGAATAATCTGTAAGTTACTGATATATTCAGAAAAACATTTGCATCATAAGTTTTCAGAAAGCTTTTAAAAATCAGATTTCAGCTTTCTGAAATAACTGTCCATGTTTGGTCATTTGGTACACTTAGAGTTAGTGGGATGATCATTTGAGGCATACAGGTTGTAGAAGTCCCATGGCTTAATCAAAGAAAGTCATTGGGAGGCCCTGACCAGCAGAAGTAATTGCCACATTGATTTTCAATTCATTTAGCGAAGCTTAGGTAAAGAGCCATCGGCCATCTTATTTTAATTAAACCTGTTTCATTTGCACAAAATCAAATGTCGGAGGATAAACTCCCAACTTTTATAATTGTTATTGGAGTTATGTAACTACTTCAGAAGCTTGAAAAATTACACTTCTTTGAGAGTTTATTTTCCCCACATCTGCTAATGTTCTCAAGCATGAGGGCTGCAAGTATAAGGCAAGGGTCCTGATTTCATATCAAGCATTAAAATCATCAAGACCCTGCAGTGGATACTGTTTGCTAAATTTATTATGCTTTCAGAGTTTGGCTCATTTCATCTCTGATGTTGGCACTGCAAAGTAAGACAGTTTTGTACTGTTGATAAGTTCAAACTGCTAAAGTGATTTGATCTCTAAACCACTTTCTTGACTTTATTATTTCAAAGATAAAGTGAGGCGAATTACCAGAGGGATGTTTTTCAGATTTAATTTTCTTGTTTTGCTTTAAAAAGAAAAAAAAGCTTCAGATCTGCAGTAGCAAGGAAGTGTGATAAGTATTAATCCTTTAGCAACTTGTGGTTATGAGCAATTTTACTTATTGGAACTGTCTCCCCTAAGCATTCTTCATTTTCATTTTAAATTAGTAAATATTTTATTACAAGTCTGGAGATGCAGTGTTTTGAATCGAGCCCTATTATTGCTTGGGCTCTCTGTCTAATCTCATCATTATGAGGAATGAGACCTTTAGGTTGGGTTGTTTTTAACAGTCAGCTAACTGAGAAAAATCACCCCATCTCTGCCTGCAGCATGGCTGAGCCAAACCGTCGAATGCCCGCAACCTTTCGACGTCCTTGGGGCCAGGAAGTAGGCTCTGGCTCCAGCAAACAGCACAGTGACCATTGTCTATACCTCGTACAGGGAATGAGCCCCCACTGCCTCAACGTCTTCTAAAGGCAGAGTGTTTCTTAACTGTGGGGGGAGTGTTTGTCTTTACTTAGCAGGGAAGTGCCCCTTTGGCTGGGGCCGCTCACGTGAACCTGTACTTTTTACATCTGAAATCACCAGTTGAGGGAACTGAAGCTGCAGTCGTATTAATACAGCTCATTGTAAGGAAGTTATTTCCCCTATTTGTGTTGAATTTTTAAGAAAACATAAAAGGACCAGCAACTTGGATTTTCTCTTTTCCTTCTAGACCCTGAGTACAGCCTGAATGCTGCATGTTCAAGGTGAAGCTGTGAGCACGTATTATAGCATATTGGAAGCCATCTCCCTTCATGGAAAAAAAAACAAAATAATACCTGTGTTGTTCATAGATTTACAATGCCAGTAAATTAAAGTACAGTTCACTCTAGCTGTTGGTTTTTGGTTTCTGTCAGACTTCTTCTTTATGGGAGCCATCTGCACGGCTGCAGGAGTATGATAAAGGGAGAACAGAGACTTCCTGTCCATCCAGTGGTTAGCACTCCGAGCTGCAGGGGGCATGGGTTCGATCCCTGGTTGGGGACCCAAGATCCCACAGCCGCCCAAAAAAAAAAAACCCAAAAAGTTGGAGATGTCATATCTAGAGACCAAAGGGATCCAGGAGACATTTTGAAAATGTCTCAAAATAGTGCTCTTTTTCATGACATTAATTGACAGAATTGGGCTCTGTCATCAAAGCTGTCTTACTCCTTATCTTCTAATTGCAGACGTGTCAGAGGTAGTGGCCAGGGGTGGGGGAGGGGAGGTGGGTTGTCTGCTGGCCTCATCCTCCTTTGCAGGCACCCGTCATATCCAAGTGGTGCCACTTAGCCAGCAGGCTAAGTGAAAATGATTATTAAAAGCATAGATTAGAAGACAAAATACTAAATTGTAGTATTCATTTCTTATCATGCACTTCAAATCTATAGAGGAGTACTTTTAATGTTGAAATTATCAAGCACAAAATACCTTTCACTTTGTTTTATAAATGAACTTTTATATCCTGGGAGTGTTTCTCATAGGAAACTAGATAAAACCACTCAGTAACTTGCTTATGGAGTTGATGGCTGAGCTGACATGAAAATCTAAGGCTCTGGACTGCAGGTCTCAGGTGTGATCATGACAGCCGTCCACTGTACTTTTTGGGGTAATTCATTTACCCTTTAAATACTTAGAGATAAAGAATTGTTGAAAGTGTAGTGTTTCTCTTTCTTTGAAACTTGAAAGCACTTGGCTAAGTAAAATCCCACTGCAAAGCTAGAAACTGCTTGATTGTTAACCACTTCTGGAGGATGGAGAAATACAGCTGGACAGGAAATTTTGAAACACTTCAGCATCTGCCCCAGGAACGGCTCTCACCTTGGTACTTAAGCTCACTGTATAATTTATCAGGGCCACTCAGCCACGCTGAGGACGAGCCCAGGAGAAGGCTTTTGTTCTTGGCTCCTGGAGAGGACTTCCTGCCCCAGACTCTTGACCTGTGTGTAAGTTTTATCTCGTTCTCTGCACTGTGTGCAGGAAGAGGAGCGGGGGTGCTGAACAGAAGCCGCTTACGAACCCCTTGAGTCCTGTGCCTGAGGCTTTTGTCCTGAGCTTTTGAAGTCAGGGCCCCTCAGTTGTCATGCTTCAGTCCCCACAATTAAGTTACCAGGCGGCATCTTTCATTACCAGGACAGAAACAAATGACTCACAAGGCCATGGGGCCTCTGATACCAGACGAATAAAGTAACTGATAGGCAGAGGGCTGAATCATTTCCAGCCAAGTTAATTAGAGATAAGTCATTTTATTCAGGAGGCAGATGGAATAATTAGAGTCGAGACTTAGGGACAGGCCTTGTGATAAGGAAAGGATTAAAGTTAACTGAGTAAAGGACAGATTCACTGCTCAGTAGAGATTCTGTGTGGTTCTTCTTGATTAAAAACAGTCCTGAACTGTTACCATGAGGCCCTGCGTCACGCCCCACTGGGTGGCTGGCAGGACCACTGTGTCCAGAACACCAGGGGGCCTGGTCAGATGGAGTTGTGGGTATTTCACTAAGCACCTGCGTGACTTGTGAGGGATTCAGTCTCCTCATTCACACAAGGTTCTTGTGTGTGAAGTGAAGGAATCAAACACTCTAAAATCCTGAGTCTACCATCTCAGTCTCGGAGAGACCAATGTTGCTGTAGCCACTGGACAGCTAAAGGAAGAGGCCCTTCAAAATTGGGACATTTCTTTGGGTTTTAGTGTGTTTGCTTTTTTTTTTTTTTTTGGATCTATATCTACTTAGCTCAGCTGATAAAGAATCTGCCTGCAATGCAGGAGACCCCGGTTCAATTCCTGCATCAGGAAGATCCCCTGGAGAGTAGATAGGCTGCGCACTGCAATATCTTGGACTTCCCCGGTGGCTCAGCTGGTAAAGAGTCTGCCTGCAATATGAGAGACCTGGGCTTGATCCCTGAGTTGGGAAGATCCCCTGGAGAAGGGGACAGCTACCCACTCCAGTATTCTGGCCTGGAGAATTCCATGAACATGGGGTCGCAAAGAGCCAGAAGTGAAAGTGAGCAACTTTCACTTTACCTTACAAAAGAGTAGGATAGTGGGATGCATTTTGAAATATTTTTAACTACTCAACATTAATAAGTCTGGGCAGTTAAGACTCCAAGAAAAGGAATTTATTTAGTCTGAAATAAAGCAATTTAGCCATTTAAAATTGAATGTATTTTAATGATTACTATTGAGCAAGCAAAAATCTTTACAGTAATATAAATCAGCAGGGTTTTGTTTTTTACTTTAGATCTGTATCCTTTCCTGCATCTATTTAATTGCCTTTTTAGATTTGAGGAAGTGGACAAAGTGCCAGAGGAAGCATGTGTATAAATTCTTATGTAATCACAGGTTATAAGTCTTTTTACCATCTAAAGAAGTTATGAACTCAAACTAAGAGTAATTCAGATGCAGTTTCTTATTAAATCTGCTTTCGGATTTAGTGCTTTTTGAACCACAGGTAGAAGGTGTTTAAAACTTTATTTTTTTTAATTCTATAAATAAAAGGCATGTCACAATACAAACATCAAGAGAATTTTTCTCTTGGTGCATATTTTAGTTATTTTCTCATGATATGAATGTGAAAAGAGTGAAGTTTCTCAAAATGAGCTACTATCACCCATCCACTGGCTGCCTTATTACTGCAGGTTACAAAGCAAATAGATGAAAACCCAGTTGCCTGCAAGTAAATAGTTCCTCCCATCACCGACTGCCCGTGGATCCAATTGGATAACTCCGTGGTAATTCTAGAAAGCCATTAAAACCCTTCAGGCGCTGGATGGGATGGCAGTGCTATATATCAGAAATAGGTAAACTGTAATTAAGAAGTTATGGATGATTTGATTACGCTCTTGTGTATTTGGTCCTGTTGTAATGTGAACAGATTAAAATTGTGTAATGGCTAAAGCTGTGTCATCATGCAAACATTTATGGCAACTTCTGCAAATTAATATCAACTGTAAAAGTTCCCTAATGAGACAGTGTCCTCCATAACCTCGAAGGACACTACAGCCACCGCTGCTTAATTCCTCTGTTTCAGTGGTTGCTGGGCGTGCACGTGCCCTTTCTAAAGAGCAGGGCAGCTGCAGAGCCCTGTGAGGAGGGCTGCTGCATCAAAGTGAAAAGGGCATTTTGAGATAGCCTTTACAAGAACCAAGATGATGAATGAATTCCCAGAATCAAACATAAATAAGAACTTTAAAGTATCTACATATATGTTAAGAGCTAGTTATACAGGGCGCTTCCCTGGTGGACTAGTGGTTAAGACTCTGAGCTCTCAGTGCAAGGCATGCAGGTTCAGTTCCTGGACTGGGAACTAAAGAGCCCACATACTGCACAGCACAGCCAATTTAAAAACATTTTTAAAAGGTAGCTGGAGGATGAGATGGCTGGATGGCATCACGGACTCGATGGATATGGGTTTGAGTAAACTCCGGGAGTTGGTGATGGACAGGGAGGCCTGGTGTGCTACAATTCATGGGGTCGCAGAGTCGGACACGACTGAGTGACTGGACTGAACTGAACTGATTCAGACAAAGATCAGAAGACTGGAGTTGTTATTTTGTGGGGTTTTTTGCCTGGGTATTTTTTTGGGAAGGACTGCCACTTTCCTTTCCTCCCTTGTCCCTTTTGCAATCGGTATGCTGAAGTATATACACAATCTCCACAATTTACTAGTGGTCACTGACTCCCGTTTTCCTCTGTGTGGCTCCCAAACACCAAGCAGTCACCTGACTTGACTCCTGGAGGTCAGCAGGTGTGAACAAGTGGGCAGCGGGCCATGCATTAAGAGAGAACCTAAAGTGAGAGCCTTAACGGTCCCGAGATGCCAACAAGTACAGATCCCCATGTGCTTACCAGGATAGCTAATGCCTATACATCTTAACCTCACCTGCAGGGGCTGCCCCACACCCCCCACCCAGTCCATCTCCACACACAGCAAATAACCAAATCAGATGTTTAAACAAAGGGAGCACTTTACAGTTAATTCACCTGCCTATTAAAAAGAATAAAACCAAGCTTGTGCATATTATACCACACTCTTCAAGACCCTAGTGCCCCTCAGTACTTCCCCGCCCCCCACCCTACCCCGCAATGTCCCCCATCAAAGCTAACGCTAAGTGGCTGCGGGTGGTCGCTGTGTCGCAGCACAAAACCGGCCTGCGATCCCGGGGGTGACTTGCTCATCCTAATAGCGCTCCGGAGGAGCCAGCCTCAGGCAGGGCCTCTCGCCGTTACTGTTCCTTGTCTGCCGGTTCCACTTCTGCTTCCCCCTCTACCTCCTCCTTTTCTTCCACATCCGCTCTGGCGTCTTGAAACTGTTGGTACTCGGACACCAAATCCTGGATGTTACTCTCAGCTTCAGCAAACTCGTTGATGTCCATCCCCTCGCCGGTGTACCAGTGCACGAAGGCCTTCCTCTTGAACATGGCCGAGAAATGCTCGGAAATCCTGCCGAACAGCTCCTGGATGGCTGTGTTGTTGCCGATGAAGGTGGCCGCCATGCTCAGCCCCCGGGGCGGGATGTCGCACACGGCCACCTTGACATTGTTGGGGATCCACTCCACGAAGCAACCGCTGTTCCTGGTCTGCACGTTGAGCAGCTGCTCGTCCACCTCCTTCGTGGACATCCGGCCCCGGAAGATGCAGGCCACGGTGAGGTAGCGGCCGCGGCGGGGGTCACAGGCGGCCATGGTGTTGCGGGCGTCAAACATCTGCTGGGTGAGCTCCGCCACGGTCAACGCGCGGTACTGCTGGCTGCCCTGGGCCGTGAGCGGCGCGAAGCCGGGCATGAAGAAGTGCAGGCGTGGGAAGGGCACCATGTTCACGGCCAGCTTGCGCAGGTCAGCGTTGAGCTGGCCCGGGAAGCGCAGAGAGGTAGTGATGCCGCTCATGGTGAGGGACACCAGGTGGTTGAGATCCCCGTAGGTGGGCGTGCTGAGCCGCAGCGTGCGGAAGCAGATGTCGTAGAGCGCCTCGTTGTCGATGCAGAAGCAGGCGTCGGAGTTGAGCACAAGCTGGTGCAGCGCCAGCACGGCATTGTAGGGCTCCACCACCGTGTCCGACACCTTGGGTGAGGGCATCACGCTGAACGAGTTCAGTATGCGGTCGGGGTACTCCTCGCGGATCTTGCCCAGCAGCAGCGTGCCCATCCCCGACCCCGTGCCCCCACCCAGTGAATGCACTAGCTGGAAGCCCTGCAGGCAGTCGCAGCCCTCGGCCTCGGTGCGCACCACGTCCAGCACGCTGTCCACCAGCTCGGCGCCCTCCGTGTAGTAGCCCTTCGCCCAGTTGTTACCGGCCCCGGAGTTACCTGCGGGCACAGGGGGCTCGGGTCACCCCTCTCCCCAACCCCAGGAACGGGCGTGGGGGCTGGGGAGGATGCACACTTCCAGGAGGTGCTCTTGCTCTCTCCCCAGTGGAACCTTCCAGAAAAACCTACCGTGAACAAAGCTGTCCGGTTGGAAGAGGGTCCCCACTCGGCTAGATCGGATGCTGTCCATGGTCCCGGGTTCCAGATCCACCAAGACTGCTCGGGGCACGTATTTCTTACCTGCTTAGAAAGATTTGAAGTTAGCAAACTTCTGACTTGTTTTTCTGAAGGTTCATGTTTCATCAAAGTAGAACCTAGGTAGGAGGAAAGAGTCCTTCTAGAAAGTGTCTTGGGTAGAAAGACTGGCAGTGATAGCTTGGACCCCAACAACAATCACAGAAATCTGTAAAAAGCTTCAGAAATCACTTCTTCCACCATTGTCCATTTTGTTTGTTCTCTTGGCTGTGATGAGGATTTTGTTCCTATTGGAACTGACTCTACTTTTTATTTAAAAACCAGAAAGGGAAAGTTCCCTGGCTGTGCAGTGGTTAGGACTCTGCAATCTCACTGCCCAGGGCCCAGGTTCAATCCCTGGACCAGGAGCTGAGATCCCACAAGCCACAATGCATGGCCAAAAAAACCCCCAAAATTTAATAAAATAATTAATTAATTTAAAAATAAAAACCAGAAAAGGAAGATAAGGGAAAAAGTAAAATAATAAAAACCAGAAAGGAAGGTCAGGGCCTAAACAGTCTGTGTTGGCAGTGTGGCCCTCCAGTGACCAGAGACAGCCTTTCCAGGGCTACCCTCGGTAGCTCTCAGAACATTACCCGCCTGTCCCTCTGGTCTCGCAGGCCCTCCTCTCTCTGCTGTGTCCCCAGGGCCGGTGACCGTGGCCGAGAGCGCAGCGTCCTACCGTGAGCCTCATTGTAGTACACGCTGATCCTCTCCAGCTGCAGAGCGCTGTCCCCGCAGTAGCTTCCGGCCCAGTCTATCCCATGCTCCTCTCCAATCACCTCCCAGAACTGAAAGCAGAAGGAGAGAAGGTCAGTGTCCAGAGGGATCCCGCTGAAGGCCAGGTTGGAGCCGGCAGATTGAGCAGAAAGACAGGAAGCGAGGGCTCTGGGTCTGCTTTCCTCCCTGAGATTTATCTTTGGGGCCCTTTCCCTACCTGTCCACTCCTTCCTAAATTTATGCTTTGTCCCTGCTCCTAGCCATGAAGATGAAAACAGCGTTTTATATCCACCTGAACTGCTTTAATACAATGTAACACATAAAATGTCAAATTGGATTTTGTTCCTGTGAAATTCAGGCCCCCATGTACATTAATGCTGTTCTTTTAGAATTTCACATCAGTGTATCTCTAGTTAGGCCTTACAGTGCATCCAGCTAGCAGAGTATAGATCCCATTAAGTGAAAATAAACTGAATTCTTATCTGACTGCATGATAACATCTCATTCCACTTTGCGGATTTATTTTCATGCAGGTTTTCCCAAAAGCCCATCACGAGGACACCTATGCATGCTTTTAAACAGTGCGCATTTTGGATGATCAGATATGCACTCAATTCAAAATTATGCATAGCCATTTTCTGGTAACTATTTGAAACATATTATACTTTCAGTCACATACACATATTATTCATATAGATATGTGCCAGGCTTTTATGGATACAGTTACTGAAATGGCCCCTTTTCATTACCCCAGAGAAGCACAAATATACATGAAAATGTATTCGTTTATGTTCAAACCCCAAGGCTGTTTTTCCAACCACACTTGTAAATGATAGCTCTGCTTCGGCCTTGATCTTATTAATATAAGACTATTTTATAGTGAATTATCAGCAGAGAAAAAAGAAAGTTCTCTGAAACCACAAATTAAATGTCTTGTGTATACTTAGGGATGATTCACATTGCTGTATGGCAGAAACCAACACAACAACATTGTAAAGCAATTATCCTCCAATTAAAAATTTTTTTAAATACCAAAAAATAAAATCAGGAGTGAGACTAACAAAAAAAAATGCGTCCTAAAAGTTCTTATGGGCCCAAATAATAAGTTTTTGCTGGGTCTTTAACCATTAGGCAGCACAGTTCTGGACCCAGAGCTGAGACCCTGCCTAGACCCTGCACTCCCTGCCTGGATCCTATCTTCATCTTATCTTCCAACTTCAGAGCAGTAGGGGCCCATGCCTCCCTTCTCTGTGTGTTTGAGTTTCGAATGTCTTATCACTCCAGCAAGGAAGGATGACATCTTCCTTGTAAGCAGTCATTTTCTCTGCCCCAGGTTTTAAACACCTGTTTTAAAAGACTTTCATTTTTTCCATAGCTGTGTTAGTTACAGTAGCCAAAATTTGGAAACAATACAGATGCCCTTGCAGATGACTGAATAAACAAACGTGATCTATCTATACAGATGGATTGTTATTCAGCCTTAAAAAGGAAGGAAGTTCTGACACCTGCTACAACAGGGATGGACCCTGAGGACACTATGCTATGTGAAACAGGCCACTCACAAAAGGACAAATACTGTTATATGATAATGAAATTCATAGAGACAGAGAGTAGAATTGCAGGTGCCAGGAGTAGGGGCGAGGAAATGGGGAGGTAGTGTTTAATGGTATGTATGAAGTTTTAGTCTTACAGGAAAAAAGCAATTTAAGTTTAGTTTTTCAAGAAAAGCATTTTGGAGATCGGAGGCATGACAGTGTAACTATACTTAAGACTACTGAAGTAGATACTTAAACATGGTTACAGATGGTAAATTTTACATCATCTCATCGCATATAAACTTTTAAGTTGTAATGCAATAAAGTTTTTAATGCAATTCATGCTAGTAGAAGTAATTTCAAAATAGTAAAGAGAATAATCAGACAGCTGTTTCATAATAGAACTGATCACTCTAAAATTCGAGCTGAAGAGGGCTTCCCTGGCAGTCTAGTGGTTAAGAATCCACCTTGCAATGTATGGAACACCGACTCAATCCCTAGTCAGAGGATCCCACATCCCATGGAGCAACGAAGCCCATGAGCCACAGCTACTGGAGCCCAGGCTCCCGAGAACCCATCCTCTGAAGCAAGAGAAGCCACTGCAATGAGAAGCTCCCCACCTGCCCCTACTGCAATGAAGAGTAGCGGCCGCTGGACACAACTAGAGAAAACCCACATGCAGCAGCGAAGACCCACCACAGCCAAAAATAAATAAATAAATCTTTTTAAAAGTAAATTTAAAGAAACTTAAGACTTGGAGGTATTGGGCTCTGGTATCTGTTTCTTAGCATTGGTCAATAGAACCAAGTACTTTTTCAAAAAAATGTGATGGAGGAGGAGAAAAACTTATTTATATCGCAAAGGATATATTTTAATTATTTCTGTTGCTGAATCCCAAAAATTTTAGGTTTACCACTTTGATTTTCTGTTGCATTTGAAATAAATTAGTAGTTGATCCTTTTTAACTGGAACATAAATACAGGAGGGGAGGGAAAGATATCTTAGTGATACAGTGGAAAAATTTTCCCAAGAAATTTTGGAAAACTATTTTGAGACAAAATTACTGGTTTTAGATACGAATGCGGAAGTTATCAAAGTTAAAACAATTGACAGGTGTCTTATACACATGTAACTGTCCACAAAATTAACAGGAGTTAGATTTACCCTTTAAGCCTTTTCCTATGCCCTCAGTTTCTTTAACTACTACAGGGACCGTTTGATGTCAGCAAGTCAGACACAGACAAGCGCATTGATCTGCTGGGCTCGGATCCTCCCTGCTACCTTAGGGGTTTTTTCTATGCTGTGGATTATGGACAGTAGTAGTTGGACGTTCCTTACCTTGGCTCCAATCTGGTTGCCACACTGGCCAATCTGGATGTGTACGATCTCACGCATCCTTGCTCTGTGCCCGAGGATCAGACCTGCCTGGAGCGAGTCCCCAGTCTGGGAGAGCTGCTGGTCACTGCCACAAGCCTTACACAACTCTGGTCATCGCAGTGACAGGACCCACTGACCAGGCTGCCTCCCGCAGTGACCCAAGGGTGTGTCCAGCCTGGAGGCCCAGCCCCTTGCCCCTCTCTGCTCTGTCATCCTTGGAGAGGGGGAGTTCTTCCTCTCCCAACACGGAATATTGCCCAATCATTTCCTAGAGTTCAAGACCAAAGGCTGCTGTTGTGTGCGGTGCCTACAGGACTGGCACCAGGCCTCAGTCTTGCATGGTGGAGTCTGGGCACCAGCTCCGGGCCCCCAGTTGGTCAGACTCCTAGCTCACCGGGGTGACCAGGACCACCTCCAGAGACCTTTCCCACCCAAGCCAGTTGTATTATCAGAAATCCTTTAGTCTAAATGCATGGCATGACAGATGAGTCCACAAATTCCAGAGCATGAAGTGGCTTCATGCTACATGTACATGTGGCTACAGCCACACGTACAACCAATTAGACATTGCCCCACCCTCCCTCAAGAACCTGCCATGGCTCCCTTGTCTTTAGCTCTGCTTTGCTAAAAGCCACTGGTGGTGCTAAGGTGGAACATGAATGGACAGTTCTGATTTTTATGTTGTATATTTTAATGTTAATAGAAAAAAAAAATTGCTAAGTCTCTTTAGTCATGTCCAGTTCTTTGCAACCCTATGGACTGTAGCCCACCAGGCTCCTCTGTCCATGAGGATTCTCCAGGCAAGAGTACTGGAGTGGGTTGCCATGCCCTTCTCCAGGGGATCTTCCCGACCCAGGGATCAAACCTCGTCTCTTATGTCTACTGAGGTTCTTTACCACTAGCACCACCTGGGAAGCCCAATAGTAAAATGATAAGAGAAAGTCTGCTTTTTCAACTTGGCCAAATTTGTATGGGTGACATGTGATTCTTGGGAGTTTGGGAAATCAGAATGGAAGCATAAGATTTAAACTCTCCGGCTTGCCATCAAGGCCTTTGTTAACCTAGTTCCAGGCTTCCATCCCAGCACCCCCTCCAGACTTTGGTCCTGCATGGTCAGGGTTCTGGAATATTCCCTCCTCCACACTGGGCTGTGGGGTTTTCAGCTCTCTCCCAGCACACTGTTCATGCTGGCGGTCACTCGCCCCGCCCTGACATGACAAGGCCCCCTTTAACGTAAAAGCCTGTGACAGCCCCGCCCACCTTTCTGCCCAGGACACAGCCTGGCTGCCGCTTTACACCGCCACCCAGCTCTCCTCTGTTGCTCCTTTGCTCTCATCACGGGGGTCTCACTGACTTTGGTTCCTTTACCAGACGATGAAGTCCCTGACACCCAGTGAGGGCCACACAGGAGATGCTCAGCCCCGCACTCGCAGCAAACCAGGCTCACCACCAGCCCCTGCCCATCACCTCTCACCCTGCAAGCCCCAGCCTGACCATCATCAGCTCCTAAACCACATGCCTTCCTACAGGCCTGGGGAGACCTTGATGTGAGGTCAGTGACATGAGCAGGGAAGTTATCCCCAGTGGACTTTCTGGGGAATATAGTCTCCAGTCCTCCTAGGAGTTCAACCACAGAGCCAAGAGCTGAGGTGAATGCTGGGAGGGAAACCACAGGTGGGGAAGAAAGACTTTGTCCCGTGGTGCCGGCCTCAGGCCCACTCCTGTCTGTTGTCCAGTGATCTCACCTGTCACGTGCAGACTAAGAGCTCCATGACCCTTGGACAGGTCCTGGACCAGGGAAGAGTTGCTGTAAGGGACACGAAGGGGACAATTGTGGACATTTGAGCACAGACTGTGTAGATAGGATAATAACATTGCAGTCACGTTCTATTTCCTGAACTTGATCCTTGCCTGGGGAACACGTGCATGCAAGCCCTGGTTTTCAGGAGACACTCTGAGGTACTCAAGGTCACCACGCAACTTTCTCTGAAACAGCAGGGCAACGATGACTGAGTGACGCATGGAGAGAGAGGTTAAGCAAACTGGGACGTGTTAAGAGTTGGCGAATCTTTCCAAACTTAGAAATGAGATGAGGACTCTTGCAACATGTCTCTTAGTTTGGAAAGTTCTTTCTACTCCAAGTTGAATGACCACATCATTCACACCTGTGTCTGCTCCACACTTGGCTGCCCCCAAGGTAAAGAGGAGACAGTGTAAATCCAAGAGAAGAAATATGCATGTGCTTAGCAGTATTTTTCACGAATTAAAAAATATACAGTGGGGAGGGATAAATTCAGAAGTTGAGTTTTCCTTTTTTTTTTTTTGGCTGTGCTATGTCTTAGTTGCAGCATATGAGATCTATTTCCCTGAGCAGAGAGCGAACCCAGGTCCCCTGCATTGGGGGAGTGGAGTCTTAGCCACTGGACCACCAGGGAGGTCCCAGGGGGTTGAGATTAACAGATAAACCCTACTATATATAAAATAAATAACCAACAAGGACCTACTGTACAGCACAGGGAACTCTACTCAATATTTTGTAATAAACTTTAAGGGAAAATCATCTGAAAAAGAATAGATATTTATTTTTAAAAAAAAAAGAATCACTGTGTTAAACACCTGAAACTAACACAATATAGTTAAATATATATTAAGAAATATATATACACACACACACAGAATGAGCCTTTCAGCTCCCATGGATGTCACCCCACTTGCCTTTACTCCTTCCTCTTTCCTTCGTGCCCCCACCTGCCCTGCCCGCATTCCCCCGGCCCAGCAGGCCCCTGAGTCTCTGAGGCTGGAGCAGGAGACAGACCCTGGGGGGTCAGGGACACCCCCCCTACTCCGGTGGCCCTAGAGCTTTGATGGCAGTTTCCAACACTCAACCTTGTTTGCACATCACTTATATTCCTGCCTTATCTCCCCAACAGCCTGGGAGTTGCTGCATCGCTTCACCTTCGAGTCCCCAAAGTGCCTCAGTCAATGTTTGCTGAGTGCAGACCAACAGCTGGGCGAGGGTGAGCAGCCCCACTCAGAAGGGCAAGCTTCCCCACAGCCAATAATGTGTTTATTCAGGAGTGTGTCCTAACGGGCGGGGGTGGGGTGGGGGACTCTCTCCTCCTTTCCTAGGAGGTGGTCCAGGCTGAACGGTTCCAGGGAACAGGGATGGTCCGTGGAGTCAGCACAGACCTACTTAGGGAAGTTGTGGGAGGCGGTGGGGGGCAGAGCTGCTGGGAGGGTCTGGGGGTGCCCTCCACCTGTGTTTTCACTCCATTCCGAAGGAATGCAGTCCAGCAAGCCGGGCGCCCCCAGCCTCCACCCTCCTTGGAGCACCCTCCTTGGGTCACCTGAGTTTGCCAGAATTCCAGATGAGCGCTTAAAAGGTTTTTCTGTTAATGGTAGCAAAAAGGGGGAAGAAGAGGAACCCTGTTTGCTCTGATTCCGGTGGGGCCAGTGGTGTTTACTCAGCCCGGGTGGCATGCGCTGTCAGGGGTGGGGGCTGATGGGGGTGGTGCGGATGCCAGGCAGGGAGGCTGGGATTGGGGGCCCACCTCCCTCAAACCTGGAAAGCCCAACAGAGGTCCAAAGGCCCAAGTCTGCAGTAAGGACTGAGCAGCCCTCAACCATTGCACCGGCAGTGCTTTTAGAGTCAGCTTCACGTGATGGAAGGCAGCGATGCAACTGACTGTGTAGACACCACTGTCTCCCCGGCCTGGGTCCTGAGCGCCTACTGTGTGTCTGGCCTGAGCTGCTGTGGGCGCAGGAGTTAACATGTTGGGTAGCACCAGGAGGCAGGACACATGGCGGGGCTGACGCCAGCCTGTCTCTGCCCCTCTGTCCTTATTTATGAAGGTACCTGCTCCCCTGGGGAACACGCGCCCCTCTGGCTGCTAGGTTAGCGAGAGCCAGTGAGGTGGTGAAGACACAATGCCTTTCTCAGGCCCCTAGGAGTGCCCCCTTCCTGACACACAGGTGAACAGCACCCCCCTGGGGGACTCAAGGTCTGTGCTCCCGCCAGGCAGAAGGTGACCCCTTGCCCTGAAGCACAGCAAAGGATTCAAAGCCACCATATAAGCGACAAAGCCATCTTCTCCCCCGAGAAGGACTGTGACAAAGGCAGGTGACAGTGATAGGGCCTGAACCGAGCTCCAGGGGGGCAGTGGGCAGGAGCCCCCTGCACACTGGGGGTGACCCCACACACCCCCCTGGAGATGGTTAAGTACCCTCAGGCCAGCCCTTCATTGTGAGGAGCAGCCCTTGACAAGACGTTGTGGCAGCAAGCCCCTTCCTGGATGACACTCGGGTCTATTATGGGAACAGGACCAAGATGATAAGGAAAACCAGTGTCATCAAGAAACCCCACATCAGCTGCTCCCAGACTTCCTGCGGAGGTGACCCCAGTGGTCGGATGGAGCTCCCCGCATCCTCCACTTAGCAAATGAACTTCGAGTAGGAGAAAAACAAAGTTCTCAGAGAATTCATTGATTTCATCCGCCCCGAGCTTCCACTTATGAGCGCATCAAAGTTCCTTGCATAACTTAGAGAAGGCTGGTGAATTACAGTGTTTGCTTGTGATTCAGAGGCAGAAATTTTTCCAAATGTCTTAGTAAGAAAATGACATCTGAGGGGCCATTAGGAGTGACTCAGCGGATGTGGGCAGATCATCAGATGAACTGAGTTCCACTTGCTTGTACTCTCCTCCTCGTGCATTCTCCTAATCTAAAAGAAAGTTCTGGGAAAACGAATAAGTAACTGCAAGAAGAGAAAAAGTAAGCAAGAAACTAGTTACTGTTTTTCTTTAAGCCAGGCTGCCCAGTTCCACGGAGGAGTTTGAAACCTTCTCTCCCTTGGGTGCCCCACGCCAACGGCTCCCCATCCCTCTCCAGCCTCAAGTCCAAAATGGGGATGACATGCCATCTCTTAGGTACATTGAGAATCAGCGTCCTGGGATGTGGCACCTCTCATTTGCAGGAGGAAACACACACACAGTTCCCGTGAGCCGCTGTGGCTCTGAGATA